TTCCTTACCAAACCCCTGACATTTGACGGAATTTATAAACTCCCCCCCAGACAGCCCCAAAAAGAGGACATGTCCGGGTAAAAGAGGACGTATGGTCACCCTATTTCAACATAGTATCCTGCTGTGTGGGGGGAACTCAAAGGACAGCCACGCTCACTCTCTGAGGACTGTCACTTTAAACAAAACGACAGCCAGTCAGAAAGTAAGTTGACTGATAAAGGAAGCACATAAATGCAGCTGTGGTGACCGACTTGGCAACAACACAAGTGTTTGACATGCCTTTTAAAATACACCTCAATCAGCGTAACTAAAAAAGGCGTACATATACAACTTGCAATTGTTTTTTATTTCATATCTAATAATTAATGGATTAAATTCTATCGTCCAGATTCAGGCTGATTATATACGGGCAAATTCCTGTCTAAACTAAGACGAGGCGTCTAATAGACGTCTAATAGATGATGCTCAGTGGGAATCAGCTCAGATTTACGTGGTGCCAATTCATCACACAAGAAAGCTGGTCTGGACTGGACTCTGGGTTACATTATTTGCATCATTTCATGAGTTTCAGAGATAAGAAAGAACTCGTGTTAACAGGCAGAAACCTTGAACAGAACCAGACTGCTGTTAGAGAGACGTCTGCTGGGACTGTGGTGGAGTTGAAAAGAGGATAGAGACAAAGTTTGATTTGAGGTCGATCCTGCTGGCTTCATTTTTAGAGAGCTGGTTCAAACACTAAACCTTCATGTTTTCAGCTCCAATCCTGGGTCTGGATTTCACTTCAGTTTGGACTATTCATCCGTTCTTCCTGGAAATCTTTGCAGAATTAATTGTGTAACTGTTGTAACAGACCATATTCATCATTTATGACACAGAAATGTTGCTCAGAGAAAACGTTCTCACCTAAGTAATAATGTGGATCTTAAAATCCTAAAAACAGCTTCTGCAAAGTCAACCTGTCACCATCTGGTCTCACAGATATTGAAGATACTGCAAACAGAGGAGAAAAAAAGCAGAGATCACAGAGAAGCAGAGAAGAGATGAAAAACCTCCCAGGATCAGAGAAATCGATACGAGCAGGACACAAAAGAAGAAAAAACAACAAAAACAAGCTCTCTCGTGAAGTTGGAATCAGTTTAATCATTTCGGGCACCACATAGGAGGATTTCCAGGTCACTACGGGGGTCTCTGAGTGTGATGATGGATGAAGGTGAAGTCATAATTCAGCCTCCCTGCTGCGGTCAGGAGCAAAGATACCTGCAGATTGATGCCGACGGACCTGAGAGCTTCTCTGAGGCCAAGTGACGTTCAGAGGACATCAAACTGTGAAAAAGTGAAAGAGGGCCAAAAGGACCACAGCGTACGCCCGATATCCTGCTGGAGCTGCAGAGAGACTCTTTTCAATATTTTAGTCAAGCTTTATTTGATCCAGGAAGAAACTCTTTGATTAAACTACTCACCTCTATGCTCTATACTGCTGCTAGCCAGTAGGGGGAGCTCTAAGATGTATGTCCTATTGTGTAAAACCCTTCACGATGCTCTGTGTGTGCACACTCTGGCACAGTTGACCCCAAATGACCCCTAAAGGCCAGTTTGTTTGGCCAGTGTGAGTATCCCATAATGTAAAATCTGAAAGTGTGTGTTTTATGTCTTCTCTCTCACACACACACACACACACACACACACACACACATTAGGAGTCAATCAAAGTTTAGAGTTTTGCACAAGAAAATCAATCAGGCTGTGGAAACTGGAGGATGATTCAACTATATGATTTGTTTTCAACAATTAAAGTTTAACTTCAGTTTGATGTTTTTCTTTTTCTGCAAACTGGGTGGTAACACAAATCAAGCTCCGAGGGCATAACATCAGATTACTGTCAGAAAACAGGTGTTTTTGTAGCTCCCAGTTCAGCTGGGATGCTCGAATGTATCTCAGCGGTGAAATCCAACATCTCCAGACAGACATATCTGCTCTCCACATCTGTGTCAGCACAATAAAATCAGGAGAGTGCGCCGTTAAACGCTCGGTTTAACGTTTTTTTTTTCTGCAGGCTGGTGAGTCATCGACATGTTGGTGGAGCGACCAGGAGGTTCATGGCATCATTGAGGTGGAGACAGACAGACAGACTGTGAGACCACTGACTTAAGTGAGTTTATTCTCATTTCACATGATGAGACGTTCTGCAGATGTGCACAGACAGACTAAACAGGCAGTTTCATTGTCTGTTTTTTGGCTCTTATCTTCAATAAAGTAGTTGTCTCGTCATACCTCACAGTATATTTTCTTTTTCCATCTCTGTCTGTCTTACTTTAATGCGCTCACTGAGACTACATAGAAACCTTGCATGAGTATTTTTCATATAAACCCTGCTCCTCTGCTTTTCCCCTTAGTTTATGTCCCGCTGTAAGACTGTCTGTGTACACATGACTGTCAGTTTGTTGGCGCTGGCAGACGAGTGTCCAGTAAATCAGAGTCACTCTGCTGTCTGACTCATTTCACGCACATCAGTCAGTCTGCTGTTTTGACATCCATGAGAGGAGAGAAGGTGACAGCTGCACAGCCCAAGGACCCGTTGGATCCTTTAATAGCAGTAAGGGGGTGAAATTAGTGAAAAAAAAAAGATCCTTGTCTTTAATCTCAGCAAAATGCCTTAGGGGATATTTTGCATATTGTCAATCTTACTCCTTTGCTTCTCAGTCAGACATATGGTGTCAAAAATGTTTCCAGAAGATGTTTTTTTTTCCACCCTAATGAAGCTGCGAACTCTCCTCTTCTTCCAGCAGTGTTGTCATTTCCACAAGCTGGTGGTTTAACCAAGTTCAGCCAGTTTCAGTTTGGATTTCTCCTCCTGCTTTCACTTAGGCTATGCTCACACTGCAGGTCAATCCTGATTTTTTATCCATATGTGACACATATTTGATTTTTTCATGTAAGTGTGAACAGTGCAATTCTGATTTGTTCTAATCCGACCCAGGCCTCTTTTGTATGTGGATATAAATCAGATATGTATCCGATATGACTGCAGTGTGGATGCTCAGCTTGCATTCATCCGACCTTTGCGTACAACACTACTGCGCAATGTTGGTTTCAGGAAGTGGAGAAAAAACGCTGAATTACCGAGAGGTTTTGGCTTTAAATCTGTAAACTGGCGGAAGGTGAAACCAAGTTGTCCATAGTGTGTATAGTCTATGTCGTAATTTCGCCTAGGGCACCAAAAAGGTTAGGGCCGGCCCTGACTGCAGGAGGCAACCTGAAGAGATATGAGATGCGTCCTATAGATGCACTTGGGTGCATCATCTGTGATGTTTCCTGTGCTCATTAGGTGTTTCAGGTCGCATGATATCATCCACCCGCGCCCCAGGTGACCGAGCAGGGGGTTGATAAAGCTTTGACTCCAGTCTCAGCTGCAGATCATCCTTCTTTTCCCTCTGGAGGCTCTCTCTCTGCTGCCTCTGTTGCAGCCCTAATAGCTGTTCTGCTCAGCAGTTCACTTCTGCCCAGCAGGGTGTAAACTTCAATTACTCACCCAGGCTGACCATTCACTGCCGGTGCTGAGCTGTGGAGAAGAGCGCTGCTGCAGCTGAAGGCACATCTCCACTTTTAGTTTCAGATCTCCTCCTCTAAAAACTAAACGGTTTGTGGCCTTTTGTTATCTGCTCTCTAAAGTCTCATAATGATTAAACAAAATTGAAGAAATGATGAAAGTTGAAGCAGTAAAGGTAATTGCAGTACATGGTCTGTCCAGCAGATGGCTTTAACAAAGATGGCAGTATAACAGATGATGGACAGACCAGCTCTGTTATTTGAACAAAACTACAGTCAGCCTATTACTGCAGAGACAATAACCTGAGTAAGCTGGATTCAAAATGCACTGAAAACAAGAAGATGGGTGGAGTTTAAAGCTTTGCAGAGACCGGCCTGTCTCACAGCATGATAGAAAAGCAGACTATTAGTTTGCAGCCACAGTTTTTTTACACATGGCAAACCCCTGCCAAAAGTTCCAGTTCTCGAAAGCATCGCGAAATGTGATTTATTCTACTCACCTGCAAAAAAAAAATTTATTTGCTGCCTGGATACATAGACTCTGTTATTCACTAGGGTGGAAAGTACGCTCAGCAATCGCCATCAGTATCTGGTCAAGATGCCACATGCAGCAGTCATCCCAAAGGGCCTGTGGGCAGCTGTTCAGGATGGGCTTTGGTGTCCCTGTCCCACAGCTGAGAGGATAAGGGGACATCTTTGCCCTGGAGCTACGTTGGCCCACATTCAGTTGCTCTCTCTCACTGTGATTATGGCGATTTTTTTTGGTGCTCTGGCAAAATAAATTCAACCACAGCAAAAACAACCAGACAACTGTACCTGTTTTTCTGCACATGCTGAACCTCTAAGAAAGCTGAATATTAAAGCCCAACTTCTCTGGAGTAAAAACTTCATGAAAATAATCTAAGATAAACATTAAACGTACACTTTTAGTCTCTGTGTCATGATATGTTCTGGTATTTAGTTTTCCTCTGGTTTTGGTAATTTGAGTGTATTTTCTTTGTGATTTTCCCTCGTGTTCCTGTTCCCCTGCAGTCCTGTCTTGAGTTTTCAGTTTGTGTCTGACCCCGTTTCCCTCTTCTTCTCAGTGTTTTATTCTGTAAATCAGTTTTCAGTGTTTCCTGTTTTATTTTGTAGTAGTTTATTCCCTCCGTTTCTTGTTTTACTTCCTCAGTTTTCCCTCCTCTGTAATTGTTTACACCTGTGTCTCAGTGTCTCACCTGCCTCGTGTTGCTCGTTTCCCTGTGTGTATATATAGCCCTTGTCTTCCCCTGTTTTTTTGTTGGTTCATTGCGTGTCTCTATGCCAGTGTCCCCAGTGTTCCCAGTGTGTCCTTGTGATTTTTTTCTGCCAGTGCCTTTTGTTGGATTTTGGATTTTTTTGGTTCTTTTGTTTTGACTATTTGGGAGTAAGTTTTTGTTACCTTTCATTTAGTTCTCTTTACATAAATCATTTTTGTTCTGCATTTGGGCCCTCTTCCTTTTTGTTTAACTCAATATTCCGACACTTCGTTGCACAAACTGAACAATAAACTTACCCCAGCGAGGGATTTGTGGTGTCTGGTTTAAGAATAAAAATAACCTAATTAAAGTGAAATGAGCAGACACGGTACCTGAGTGTTAATAACGAACCCTCCTGTACTGACCCTCAGTAAATAAGCCAGACTGAAGAGTGAAGACCAAGTCAGGTAAGAGAGTCACGATCAGAATATGTGTTTACATGGACGCGTTTTGGAATAATGATCGGCATAAACCACCCCTCTTGATCGGAATACAATTTCTTTTCGATTGAGCTGAATTGGATCAGAATCATCTGATCAACATGTTTACATGTCGCATATTCATTCTGATCAGGTATTTATTCTGATTATTTGTACCCATGTAAAAGCAGCTAGTGTCAGTAGGCCCCTATCTGAGCCAGTGCACGAGGCGTGTGAGAAAAAAAGAAAAAGAAAAGAAGTGGGTATTTATTTAAGATCAAAAAGTCATTAATAGGGTTTTAAACTACAATCAGATCAGATTATATTGATGAGTGGTTCAAATACCAAATTATTTTTCTATGTTCTCACCACCTACACCCCTTTCTCTCTCTCTCTCTCTCTCTCTTTCTCTTTCTCAATTTCAATTTCAATAGGCTTTATTGGCATGAAAACAGTAAACAACAGCATAAAAACAGTCGAACTAATGGATGTGATTATTATTATTAGAGTGATTAAAAAGTTCATAACAACATGTAGATCTGACAAAAGTCTGATTCTAGATGTCTTTACAAACACACTGATCCAACAGAAGCAGACAGAAATATCCATCGATGACATGAACACAAATATTCAGCAAACAGAGAAAAAACAGATCATCTGAAGAGTTTTTGGGGACGAATGGAAAGACTTTAGACGCTTGGATTTGGGACAGGAAATAAGGTCGTCCTTTTTCTGTGATTTTGACCTCACTTTTTTCTAAAGTCTCAGACCTTCAACATCTGCACCAACTGAAGGTGATTTGAACAAACCATCATCTTGATGTTGTTGATATCAAACTTGATGAAGATTTTTCAACATGAGAAATACAAACAATCAAAGTTCTCCACAATCACTGTCCTTAAAGCTGCGACCAAATCAGCATCTTTAGAAAAGAATCAAAAAGCTGAAATGAAGAACTAAACCCAGAGTTTTTGGTGAGACTGATCCACAAACATTTACAAACCAGAACATTTCAAGAGTTCAAGGATCTCAGTCCATGATTTTGGTCTGATGGACTCAAAATTCTCTTTATTTCAGTTCAATAAACTCAGCAGAGTCTCCATAACTGTAGGGTATCAGTCCAGCATGTAGAGGTTCAGTGAATGTGGTCTGGACTCTGTGGAGGAGAGTCATGGTTTCAGAGACGCTGTAGAAGGACAGAATACCTGCTCTGTGATCCAGGTACACTCCTACTCTGGAGGACTGAGGACCTGAGACAAGAGTGACGACTTTGTTGTGCTTAAAATTATAACCGTCTTTACAACACTCTAACCTCCAAGATTTGTCGTTGTATCCAAATCCACAATCCCTTGAGTTTCCTGCTCTGCTGATAGTCTTGTATGCGACTGCTACATCAACCCCTTTCCCTCTCTGCTCCACCTCCCAGTAACAACGTCCAGTCAGACTCTCTCTACTCAGGACCTGAACCCAATGAGTGAATCTGTCTGGATGTTTAGGATAAGACTGTTGTTTTGTTAATGTTGCTCTTCTGTTTCCATTAGATAATAACAGATCTCTGCTTGCTGTGTTTGAATCCAGTGTGATTCTTTGTGAATATCTTAAGAAATCAGCTCTGGTCTTGGGTTCTGGTGGTTCTGACAGTAAAACATCCACTTCAGTCACTGCCTGTGAGACGTTTGTCCACGTCTCTGTCAGAAGATCCTGGAGTTTCTCTCTGACCTCTGACACAGCTGCTGTCACCTCCTCAAAGTATCTCAGAGGACGGATGTTGATTCTGGATGAGTCTGCAGGTTGACCCGGTTCTGACAGTGAGGGGTAGCTGTGCAGAAACTGGTTGTGGTCCTCTGTGAGTGAGAGCTTCTGCAGATCAGCGTCTTTCCTCTTCAGCTCAGTGATCTCCTGCTCCAGTTTCTCCTGAAGCTCTTTGACTCGACTCACTTCACGTTCCTGCTGGGATCTGACCTGCTGCTCCACGTCAGAGTGGTGTTTCTCCATGAGACGGATCAGCTGGCTGAAGATCTCCTGGCTGTGCTCCACAGCTTTATCAGCAGAGCTGTTGATAGCCTCCACCTCCTGTTGGAGCAGCTTCACATCTTCTTCTCTGTCCTGGATTCTCTGCTGGATGTTTTCTCGACTCTCCTCCAGATCTTTCTGCCTCTCAGTCCTTTCTGCTGCAGCTGAGACTGTGTCGTGACCTTTGTGTTGGTCCACAGGGCAGAGATAACAGATAGACTGTTGATCAGTGCGGCAGAACATCTTCATCACCTCATCATGACGAGAGCAGATGTTCTCCTGAAGCTTCTTGGAGGGCTCCACCAGCTTGTGTTTTGCATAGGCAGGAGATTCATAATGAGGCTGGAGGTGTTTTTCACAAAATGAGATCAAACAGACCAGACAGGACTTGACAGCTTTCAGTTTTCTCCCACTGCAGACGTCACAGGCCACATCTTCAGGTCCAGCCTCAGAGGAACCATCAGGAGCAGCTTGGACTCCGCTCTTCTTCAGTTCCTCCACTAAAACTGCTAACATGGTGCTTTTCATCAGGACAGGCCTCGGTCTGAAAGTCTCTCTGCACTGAGGACAGCTGTAGATCTTCTTCTCATCCTCTTTATCCCAGTAGGACTGAATACAGCTCATGCAGAAGCTGTGTCCACAGTTAACAGTCGTCGGATCCTTCAGAAGATCCAAACAGATGGAACAAGAGAAAGACTCACGGTCCAGATGAACTCCTTTCTGCGCCATTTCAACACTCCCTGTCGACGACGACTGACTGAGTTTCATTTCTTGAGAAGTCAAACTAGTCTGAGCTCTGATCTCAACAACATGTGTGAGTCAGCAGGATCAGCTCAGCACACGGAGGTTACACCCAACCTCAACTGTAGATCTGAAGGGGAGGAAACAAGGAAGTGAGTGAGCAGAGTGGAGTGAGCTGTGTGAGAGAGGAGGGAGGGGGAATCCAGTTTTTCTACAATCCAGGAAGAGGAGCGGCGATGTGAACTTTAGACTCTCAAACTCCAACAAGCAGAAGTTATTAAAGCTGCAGCCGTCCTGAAGATCAACTGAACCAACATTTCACTAAATACATCAACATTTATTCACCTCATATAAACCTCATCGATCACAGAAACACTTCCACTGTTTTATCCTCATATCCACACATATTTAAATTTACACCACATATAAACACTCTCTCTCTCTCTCTCTCTCTCTCTCTCTCTCTCTCTCTCTCTCTCTCTCTCTCTCTCTCTGGCTTGTTGACCTCTGAGGGAGCGTCAGTTTTTCTAACTTGTTTTCTTTCTTCATTTGTTGTTTGGTTTGTGCTCGTTGTTTATTCTCTGTTTACTCTTCTCATAATCCTTTCTCTAATCTGTGTCTCCTCTTTCTCTGCCATCCAGAGAGGTGATCTTCTCCAGTGTACCCAGCTGAGCCGTGTGGTCTCTCACAGATGTCAGGTCTTGATGATCCTAAACAAGAAGAGGAATGAGGAGCTCAATCTAGTGTAATCTGAGGGGTGATGACTTTTCACCTGGTTTTGTTATTTGAGAGCATGTTGTGTATTTTCCCCAGTGTTCCTGTTTCCCTGTGATCCAGTCTTGTGAGTTTTTTCAGTTTGTGTTTGACCCTGTTTCCCTTCTGTTCTCTGTGTTTTATTCTTTAAATCAGTTTTCAGTGTTTATTTCCTGTTTTATTTTGTAGTCGTTGATTCGTTGTGTGTGTGTGTGTGTGTGTGTGTGTGTGTGTGTGTGTGTGTGTGTGTGTGTGTGTGTGTGTGTGTGTGTGTGTGTGTGTAATATAATAATCTCTCTTTCTCTCTGGTTATTCATTTGGTTTTGGCTTTTTTTCTGTCTTTAGAGCAGGTGACAACTCAAAAAGAAACTGGGTGAGAGCCAGAGTGCAGGTGGACTTGAGCTTCTCCAAGACTGTGTCTGATGTGGTTTTTCAGAGACATCATCTGCTCTGTTCAGGAGGAGAAACTGGTTTTCAGTCTTTGTATCAATATGTAGAAAAGTTCACCTGATACTCAGTGTTCATTATTTTTTTCTCTTTCCGTTGTAAATATTTATAACTAACTGTGAATAAAGTTTGTCTTTAAAATCAAAATTTCTCTCTCTGTATTTCTTAGTTTGGTCTGACAGAAATCAGAGAAAGACACACAACCTGCAGCCGGCCTTTTACCTCTCGTTTAAAGAAAACCTGATCCAGCTGAAGGACTCACAACTGGGACCTGGAACACCTGTGAGTGAAAACATGATGGAAATCCTGCAGACCACATGAATCCATGACCCAGACGGACCGGTAACATGACATCCAACAGAAACAGACCAAATAAAGAAAAACAGACGAGGTGATTTCAGTGACTCAGTTTGATGATTTTTATTTTTTTCACCCACAATCAGAGACTTGACCACAATCTGAGCTGAGTCAGAAACATAAAAACAGTCGGACTAATAAATGTGGTTATTATTATTAGAGTGATTGAAAAGTTCATAACAACATGTAGATCTGTCCAAAGTCTGATTCTAGATGTCTTTACAAACACACTGATCCAACAGAAGCAGACAGAAATATCCATCGATCACATGAACACAAATATTCAGCAAACAGAGAAAGAAACAGATCATCTGAAGTGTTTTTGGGGACGACTGGAAAGACTTTAGACGCTTGGATTTGGGACAGAAAAGAAGGTCGTCCTTTTTCTGTGATTTTGACCTCACTTTTTTCTAAAGTCTCAGACCTTCAACATCTGCACCAACTGAAGGTGATTTGCACAAATGATCATCTTGATGTTTTTGCTAATAAAACTTTATGAAGATTTTTCAACATGAGAAATACAAACAATCAAAGTTCTCCACAGTCACTGTCCTTAAAGCTGCGACCAAATCAGCATCTTTAGAGAAGAATCAAAAAGCTGAAATGAAGAACTAAACCCAGAGTTTTTGGTGAGACTGATCCACAAACATTTACAAACCAGAACATTTCAAGAGTTCAAGGATCTCAGTCCATGATTTTGGTCTGATGGACTCAAAATTCTCTTTATTTCAGTTCAATAAACTCAGCAGAGTCTCCATAACTGTAGGGTATCAGTCCAGCATGTAGAGGTTCAGTGAATGTGGTCTGGACTCTGTGGAGGAGAGTCATGGTTTCAGAGACGCTGTAGAAGGACAGAATACCTGCTCTGTGATCCAGGTACACTCCTACTCTGGAGGACTGAGGACCTGAGACAGGAGTGATGACTTTGTTGTGCAGAAATTCATATTTGTCATTTTGAAACTCGAACCTCCAAGATTTCTCATTGTATCCAAATCTACAATCTACTGAGTTCCCTGCTCTCCTGATAGTCTTGTATGCGACTGCTAGACAAAGCCCGCCCCCTCTTCGCTCCACCTCCCAGTAACAACGTCCAGTCAGACTCTCTCTACTCAGGACCTGAATCCAATAAGTGAATCTGTCTGGATGATCAGGATAAGACTGTTGTTGTTCTGTCAATGTTGCTTTTCTGTTTCCATCAGATAATAACAGTTGTCTGTTTGCTGTGTGTGGATCTAGTGTGATTCTTTGTGAATATCTTAAGAAACCAGCTCTGGTCTTGGGTTCTGCTGGTTCTGGTGGTCCTAACAGTAAAACATCCACTTCAGTCACTGCCTGTGAGACGTTTGTCCACGTCTCTGTCAGAAGATCCTGGAGTTTCTCTCTGACCTCTGACACAGCTGCTGTCACCTCCTCAAAGTATCTCAGAGGACGGATGTTGATTCTGGATGAGTCTGCAGGTTGACCCGGTTCTGACAGTGAGGGGTAGCTGTGCAGAAACTGGTTGTGGTCCTCTGTGAGTGAGAGCTTCTGCAGATCAGCGTCTTTCCTCTTCAGCTCAGTGATCTCCTGCTCCAGTTTCTCCTGAAGCTCTTTGACTCGACTCACTTCACGTTCCTGCTGGGATCTGACCTGCTGCTCCACCTCAGAGCGGCGTTTCTCCATGAGACGGATCAGCTGGCTGAAGATCTCCTGGCTGTGCTCCACTGCTTTATCAGCAGAGCCGTTGATAGCCTCCACCTCCTGTTGGAGCAGCTTCACATCTTCTTCTCTGTCCTGGATTCTCTGCTGGATGTTTTCTCGACTCTCCTCCAGATCTTTCTGCCTCTCAGTCCTTTCTGCTGCAGCTGAGACTGTGTCGTGGCCTTTGTGTTGGTCAACAGAGCAGAGATAACAGATAGACTGTTGATCAGTGCGGCAGAACATCTTCATCACCTCATCATGACGAGAGCAGATGTTCTCCTGGAGCTTCTTGGAGGGCTCCACCAGCTTGTGTTTAGCATAGGCAGGAGATTCATAATGAGGCTGGAGGTGTTTTTCACAAAATGAGATCAAACAGACCAGACAGGACTTGACAGCTTTCAGTTTTCTCCCACTGCAGACGTCACAGGCCACATCTTCAGGTCCAGCCTCAGAGGGATCATCAGGAGCAGCTTGGAGTCCGCTCTTCTTCAGTTCCTCCACTAAAACTGCTAACATGGTGTTTTTCATCAGGACAGGCCTCGGTGTGAAGGTCTGTCTGCACTGAGGACAGCTGTAGATCTTCTTCTCATCCTCTTTATCCCAGTAGGTTTGAATACAACTCATGCAGAAGCTGTGTCCACAGGAAACAGCCACCGGATCCCTCAGAAGATCCAAACAGATGGAACAAGAGAAAGACTCACGGTCCAGATGAACTCCTCTCTGCGCCATTTCAACACTCGCTGTCGACGACGACTGACTGAGTTTCATTTCCTGAGAAGTGAAACTAGTCTGAGCTCTGATCTCAACAACATGTGTGAGTCAGCAGGATCAGCTCAGCACACGGAGGTTACACCCAACCTCAACTGTAGATCTGAAGGGGAGGGAGCAAGGAAGTGAGTGAGCAGAGTGGAGTGAGCTGTGTGAGAGAGGAGGGAGGGGAATCCAGCTTTACTACAATCCAGGAAGAGGAGCGGGGATGTGAACTTTAGACTCTCAAACTCCAACAAGCAGAAGTTCTTAAAGCTGCAGCCGTCCTGAAGATCAACTGAACCAACATTCTACTAAATACATCAACATTTATTCCCCTCATATAAACCTCATGAATCACAGAAACACTTCCACTGTTTTATCCTGATATCCACACATATATGAATATACACCACATATAAACACTCTCTCTTCCCCTCTCTCTCTCTCTCTCTTTTTCTCTCTTTCTCTCTGGCTTGTTGACCTCTGAGGGAGCGTTGGTTTTTCTAACTTGTTTTCTTTCTTTATTTGTTGTTTGGTTTTGTTTATTCTCTGTTTACTCTCCTCATAATCCTTTTTCTAATCTGCGTCTCCTCTTTCTCTCCTGTCCACAAAGGTGATCTTCTCCAGTGTGCCCAGCTGGAAAACTGGTCTCTCACAGATGTCAGGTCTAGATGATCGTAAGCAAGAGAAATGAGGAGCTTAATCTGGTTTAATCTGAGGGTTTATGACTTTTCACCTGGTTTTGTTATTTCAGTGCATGTTGTGTATTTTCACTAGTGTTCCTGTTCCCCTGTGATCCTGTCTTGTGAGTTTTCAGTTTGTCTTTGACCCTGTTTCCCTCCTGTTTTCTGTGTTTTATTCTTTAGATCAGTTTTCAGTGTTTCCTGTTTTATTTTGTAGTCCTTGATTCCTTGTTTTTCTAGTCTGTTTTTAGCCGTTTTCGAATTCTCCTACTATACTAGCAGTACGTACTGATTTGCCCAAAATTTAGTATGCATTTAGTATGCAGACCAGTCTGCTTCGCCTACTGTTACCCACAATGCAAAGCACCTGGGCAGACAGCGGAATAGCAGAGAGCGGCGAAACTTTTCACCCGAGCAAAATGTTATTTTTGGACAAGGCATGGTTAAAATAACTCCTGTAGATGTAGCCATCTTGTTTCAGGCCTCCCATTTTGCTTTTGTAGTTTGGTTGGCCCAGTTTAGCCGGTTTCCGGTAGGGAAAAGTACATCGTACCCTGGTAAATTGCAACAACACTGCAGAGTTACCCATTCATTTACACACTGAAAAAACTTTTATGTTTTGTAATTTGATTTTTCATGATTTTTTAGCCCAATGCCAGCCATCAAAACGTGTTCTGTCTTTTTCTGCTAGTATAGTAGGAGAATTCGAAGACGGCCCCCTGTCCTCCCCTCATCTGAAACAAGATGGCTACATCTAAGAAAGTTATTTTAGCGCTGGCCTTGTCTGAATATAAGGCAAGTGCTAAAATAACTTTCGTAGATGTAGCCATTTTGTTTTCGACTCCTATTTTGCTTTTTTCTGATTTGGTAACTGAAACGCTGGTATCTCGGGTGTGACGTCATTTTCAGTTGGACTTCTGGGTTCCGAGGTAACTCGAACTCAGCATAATCCCCAGGTCATTCAATCTGGGCTCACTGATGTTACACTTGTTGCAAGCCGCTGTCAGTCGGACTAGACCATTTTGCGCCTTCAAGAGGGGGGCCCCCAGAATGTTCAGTATGTTGGGAGGACTGTAAAATAAATTCATTCTCTCAGTTGATGTTATCAATATATTTGAATTAATTATGACCACAATTCATTAGAGGGGGCCCAATTCATTTGAAATAAAAACATCACAACACAGGATTTCCATGGGCCCCTCTCCCTACTTGGGCCCTGGGTAGTCAGGTCCCCTTTCCCCCCACTACCACGCCCATGTGTGTTACGTTTTGTCCTCTTTTTGACCATGAAAACCATAGATATCTGTAAGAAAGGCTAGATGAATCTAGGCAAAGTCACTGGTGTCAGTCCACGGCGGCCATCTTACTTCAGTATACCATTCTGGTACGCTCTACTGTATGGTAGCTGACGTAAGGTGACAAATCTGCATGATCAAAAATACTCTTAACTGACAGATTTACAAATGCTTTTGTTTATTACATCCCTTGAAATCATGGCTATGAGTTGGGATCTTGGACATATTGAAAAGGGAGATTTTCTTTGAGAAAAAAAAAAGACTTAATCGTGCAGCACAGTTGTTTCACGGCTATTTGTGCGCAGTAGCTAACTTTGAGTCGCTTTGCGTGAGTTGTCAAGGCTGAGACCACAATTGAGATTTTATTGTTTTGTATGACAGACTATTTTTTATTTTTTTTTATTTATTGATTTAGTCTAAGTGACAGTCTTTGTGGATGTGCTTGTGTTTTTCAGTTTGGCTTACAGACTCGCTGTGAATGAGACCACCTATTATAAAGTTGACCGAGCAATTTTACATCAGTGGGAAAGGCAGAAATGCTCTTTTGTTTCAACATAACCTAAGTTGCACATGATTTCCAAGCGGTTTGGTTTGTTAAAAATATCTAAAATGGCAACATGAGGAAGAAATGTATACTGAAAATGAATATTTATATATGTTATTACATGTTATCATAGTTATCCCTATTACTAATATAACATACATGGAATGATTAAATGTGCTGTGTATAAATGATTTAATATAACTGCCTAGTGTGTGTAGGCCTATAGCTATTTCTCTACCTATCTGCTTAATGTTTATTTCTGAAAATCTGTGGTTAAAGTTATTCTTGAGTATTCGGGAACATAAGTAAAACTCTAAGGGTTGTTACAAACCAAGCCGTTCAAAAATCGGTTTAAAATCAAGTAATTTATGGTTGTTTAAATGCTACATGCACCCTAGACTGGAATGTTATGAGTGGGCATTTTGATTTTCATAGTTTATCTCTGTCGCCATCTTGTGGATAAGTGAGAAGTTACAGGTGCTCTCTGATTGGCCAGATTTTTTGATGTGCGTGTCTCTGATTGGCTTTCAGTGGCCCGCCATCAAGAAAAATCGTCCGTGCGGGAACACAACCGTCTTATGCCAATTCTTTATCACATAGTTAAAAGATTTTACCACTATTAATGTTGTTGAGCATTTTGAGTTCTCGTGCTTTATGTTTTAATGATTTTCATAATCACGTATAAGGGGAAAAACTCTCTCTCGCGCAGAAATTGTGCCAACAAACCTCTTGCTTGTGTAGTTTCTCCCCGGACTCTAGTGTCAGACGGACCGGCTGGATTTATGGAGTTTGGAGGAGCGTTGTTGTTGTGATAGTTTCCCTTCGAGGCTTTTCGAACAAAAAATGGTCAACTTTGGAGTATTAGTGAGCACATCGGTGTTGTTCGTGGTGTTCGGGTTGTGTTTGGTGAGCTGTGATATAACGGACGGAAACGCGGAACATCTGAAGAGGGAGCACTCTCTGATGAAACCGTACCAAGGTTCGAGAGCTCGGTTAGCTCCTCTGCTAACACCATGATAGCTCCACTTTTCTCCACTTTAGGTGTTTGTTTAACAGATTTTTCAGCAGGATAGAAACAGTTTGAGTGTGTTTAATGTTGCCTTTACTGCTTTGGCTCAATAGTAATCTGATTGAATCACTAACTGTCATCTGTAAGAGTCAGAATAACACGGTGTACCATCCGAACAGGCTGTGCTGCAGGAGGGAAAAGTTGGTGATTCTGATTAAAACAGATCCTGGGAGCCAATTTTTCTTCTAATTTAACTCCTTTGATCAAATTCAGGCACGTTTTAGGACTGAAAATGCGACTTATTGAAGCAAAGAACGAAAACTAAGGAGACAAAGGTTCAGGTCAATGTAGTTTTTATGAGTCATGATTCAAAACTACATAGGGGAGAGTGGGGTAAGATGAGACGTTTTTCATATTTTGGATCACTACATCAAAACAATCCTAGTTTTGTCTCTAACTAGTGTATCTGCATATATCTGAAGATGTTGTTCATCCTTTCAACCAACAGAATGAGTGTAAACAGAACTGTCTTGATAATATAGCATGTCAAAAGAAGTGGTCTCCTATGGACCATAGCAAACACTTCCTGGAGTTTGAGAACTCCGATTGGAGTCGGACTAAGATGTTTACATGCACTTCAGGTGTCCGGTCTTAATCGGAATAAGGCAATAATTCGGTTTTCTCGAGTGTCATGTAACCGTACTGAGTGTCTGTCTGAAAAACTCCTTACAGTGCCTTTAAACAGTCAGATTAAGCCCCTCAGTCTTCAAAGTGTTCAGAGAGATCAGCAGGACCATGAAACTTTCCTCAAAGGAGCAGACTCTCACCACTGTATGACCACTTTTAGAAGACTATGAGAGGATTAACAAAACCAGGTGAAAAGTCAGCAGATTATTTCTGTTTTCTGGTTAGAAGTCGGAGTATTGATTTTCATTCTGTAGAAAATGTGACAGAGCTCTGTGGCTGCTCGTAAGAACTAAAGATCAGAGTGTTTTAATCTGCTGCATTGGATTTTGAAGTGTAGAAAATATGTCATTGAGGAGGGAACCTAGGCACACTTTTTTGTTTTTGACCTAACAGCTCACCTGTTTACTTCCTATGATAATGATAAAATAGAAAAAAGCTCACCCAGCACACCCTCAGGACCAGGAAGTGTTTGCTCAGGATGTTTGCAGAAAATGCTGTCGATTGTAAACCGGTCTGACATTGTGTCTGCTTATGCTCTTTTTCCAAAACACAGTAAATGTTGGGAAAGAGTCTTGTTCAAAGTGTTTTACAAGATGAGGCTCTGAGATTATGTGACCATCCAAAATAGACGGCTCATGGTGTCAGAAAGTCACAGCAGAAAACCAATCTGCAAAGAGATGCTCATGAAAGTGAACGCCGTGCTCTCCTCTTCATCGGTTATGCATCTGAGTGTGTTTACATCTGCTTGTCTTGCAGGTGTTGGAAGTGGCCACAGCAGCCAGTGGGACTTCTGGGGAAGCACGTTGGTGACCAACTCATACGTCCGACTCACTCCAGATGAGAGGAGCAAGCAGGGATCCATCTGGAACACTGTGGTGAGGAAAGGCTGCAGACACACCGACTAATTCTTCTCTTTGGAGCACTTTACCAGCTTTTATTTTCACTGTGCAGTTCTCAGGTGGCACAGACCCTCGAGGGCCCGAATATGTTCTTGTAAGAGTCTTATAGGGATATTAGATAGAGAACAATGTAGCACCTGAGCAGATTCAAAGCAAATGTGTAAACTAATCTGTGCTCATCTAACTTTGATTCTTCAGATATACTGTACTGTATGTGTGAGGTTTATGTTTTTTATTTTGTGTTATGGCTCATATTGTATGTAGGTCCTGGGTTCAAATCTGGCTCAGGGTGTTTCTGTGTGGAGTTTGCATGTTCTCCCTGTGTCTGCGTGGGTTTACTCCGGGTACTCCGGTTTCCTCCCACATCCCAAAAACATACCTCAGTGGGGTTAGGATAATTGGCCACTCTCAAATTGCCCGTAGGTGTGATTGTGAGTATGGATGGTTGTTCGTCTCTATATGTCAGCCCTTGGATGAACTGGCGACTTGTCCAGGGTGTCCCCAGCCTTCGCCCAAAGATGCTGGGATAGGCTCCAGCCCCCCCCCCACGACCCCGGGAACGGGAATAAGTGTTCGAAAATGGATGGATGGGTGGATGGTTACAGCTCATATTCTCTAAATCAAGCGAACTCACCTTGGATTTCTTGAACTCTTTATGTCTTCTTTTCCAGACAAATTTTAATAGCTGGGTAACACTTTACTTGACGCCTATCTTTTTAACGCATTATAAATATATGTATAATGTGTTATAATCATGTTATAGCGCTGTATAACTATAGTTATAAACACTCATAAATGATCATAATGCCTTATAGCAATAATCATAACCCATTATAAAGCATTTTATCATGACTTACAAGGTCAGGTATTATACTGTGTTATAACTTATCATTATAAACACTCATTAATTATCATAAGGCTTCATAACAATAAGCATAACACATTATAATACCTGACCTTGTAAGTCATGATAAAATGCTTTATAATGTGTTACAATTATTGCTGTAAAGCATTATGATCATTTATGAGTGTTTATAACTATAGTTGTACAGTGCTATAATGTGATTATAACGTATTACGTTTATAGAGATAGGCGTGAAGTAATGTGTTACCAATAGTTGCAATAGCACAGATTTTCTGGATTCAGGTTAAGAATGAACTAAAATAAAAACTAATAATTTTTTTTCTTTTGATGGATTAAACTTTAAAAGGACGTTTGTAAGAAATATTCAGAAAGTATTTTTTGGTGAACTTCAGGCTCCTTTACGCTGACATGTTTTGAGAACCAACTAAGTCTCTTTAAAACTGACAGAAAAAAACACACTTTGAGACATTTTGCAAGCTGCCATGGAAAGAAAACATCTTCGTTCTGTTTCTGCTCTGCAGCCGTGTCACCTGAAGGACTGGGAGATGCACGTGCAGTTTAAAATTCACGGCTCGGGGAAGAAGAATCTCCATGGAGACGGCATCGCTCTCTGGTACACCAAAGACAGGCTGCATCCAGGTACTGAGAGTCTTTACGACTCAGTCTCTGTTCTTGTGTAAGAAACAAACCACCCAGCTTGATCTCACTTTGTGCCATCTTCCATATTTTTTTGCATCATTGTGATACTTATCTGTAAACTTATGCTGTTCATATGACTAGTTCACTGTAGCTGTAGCTTGTTGGCCCTTTATTACTTACTTTCTGCAGCTGCATCAGACTGAAAACCCGAATATGTACCGCCAACCCTAATCCTAAAGTTGCACACGTTAACAGTGATGCTGCTGTCTGTTGGGTTAAAGTAACGGCTTCCTAAATCCTGGGATGAGGTCTAAAAAGGAGAGCGACACAGAATAAGAGTCTGAGCCTGCAGGTGTAAAAATCAACACTGATAGTAGGCGTGGTCTGATCATGCATGTTCCCCTGAAAGATTAGGTCACAGCTTTAACCAGCCGCATGTTCATGAGATGCATTTGAGGAATTTTCCAGAGAGACCTGTGTCTTTTAGTCATTTTTACTCCAGACTGATCAGGACTTTTGCCGAGTTGAGAAGCACCAGAGCCCCCTTTGAAAACTCATCCAGCTAACTTCATCACAGAAAGTGTCTTTTCTCAGTCATGTTTAGATGTTTGAGTTCACCATCTCAGCTCGCTGTGTTCACTGCTGTCATAGAAAACCGTCTCGACTTGTCTGCTCACGTTTCACCTCATCTCTGCCTCCATCCTAGGCCCTGTGTTTGGAAACCAAGATCAGTTTCTTGGCCTGGCTATTTTTTTGGATACCTTCCGCAATGATCTCCATGGGATGGATGTAAGTGTGTGTAGCGCGTGTGTGTGTGTGACTCGAGGCGATTGACCTGCTTGTTTCTTTGCAGGGCCCGTGTTTTCCAACAATGCTCTCTTCCACGGGCTGGCCGTTTTTATAGATACTTACTCTAACGATGATGCCACGGATGTGAGTGGTTGCTCAGGTTTTACCCGTCAGTATGTCGCCTCAGTTTGTTTCTGCTTTCCTTCATTTCAAAAAGGCATGTTGTCAGAAGTTTTCCAGCATGTAACCAATGAAAACAGTTTGTTTTTGCTCTTCTTTTAATTGCTTCTACAGCGAAACCTCAGACTGCACTCACACAGGATCTGAGCATGATGGCTGTCCCACAAATCTTTTGCTTTTCTTTCACCACAAAGATTACACTTTCACAATGCAGGGCTGGATTCTTTGTTTATTAGTCTGAGCTCATCTAGATTAGTGTCCCTGAGGTTTTATAAGAGATGCAGAAAAAGTCAAAGTTCATCAGCTGTCGGCTGGTTCAAAATTTTTCAACCTTTTTAAGATCAGACCTCTGAGCGTCTGCAGTGTGAAAGTAGACTTTGTATTTACAGAAACATGAGCTGAAATGTGCAGAAGCCTTGAGAAGCAGGTGAGGAAAAAGTTTCTGTGTTACCTGAAATCTTACCCAAAACAGTCTTTTCTGTTTGTGTTCCAAGAATAATTACAAAGAAAGAACTTTTGCAAATATTATCTAATTTTAAAAGTTTATTTAGAGTTTGTTATACCCCTGACCAAATGAAAACTTTGACACATGATGTTTGACCCTGCTCTTCCACCACCAAGAAAAGTCAGCAGTTATAATAAAATCCAGAAATGAGATTCCACTTTCCTCTCAAGGATTCTCTCACAGTATTAAATGTCGGCTTTTTTAATTTATGTCAAATATTCATCCGTCCATCATCTGTATTTACCAGCGTCTGTATTTGAGCTGTTTTTGAGATTCGTTCGTTAACGTTTTTCCTCTCTGTTGCCAGCGTTCCTTCCCGTTCATCTCAGCCATGGTTAATAACGGCACGTTGAGTTATGACCACGGCAAAGACGGACGATCGTCGGAGCTGGGAGGCTGCTCGGTCGAGATCAGGAACAAAGATCATGAAACGTACCTCGCTATCCGCTACTCCAAAGGAAGACTCACAGTAAGATGAACTCTGATTATCTAATGATCAATTAACAATAAACACTGTAATGGGCATTTCTTTGCATCAGCTTCACCGGTGTTTAACCTGCAGGTGATGGTTGACGTGGACGACAAGAATGAGTGGAAGGAGTGCATCGACATCGGAGGAGTTCGTCTCCCTACCGGATATTTCTTTGGTGCCTCAGCGGCTACAGGAGATCTGTCCGGTAAATCAGAGCAGGAAAACCAGGAATTAATCAAACATTTACTGAATAAGGGAGGAAGTTTATTCCTGCAAGAGTGTATTTGTTTTTATTTCAATGTGATAAACTGTTACTATTTAAAATTTTGATTCAGATAATCACGACATCGTCTCTATGAAGCTGTACCAGCTGATGGTTGAACACACTCCAGAGGAGGAGAGCCAGGACTGGACCAAGATTGAGCCCAGTGTCAGTCTCCTCAAGTCCCCTAAAGGTACAGCAGATTGAAGTTAGAAGAACCTAAATCCAGAACCTTTAATACGTCTTCATGGAGGGAAATATCCCGTAGTTTGAAGCTCCACTCTATATCAAAGATTAACAAAATGAATCCAATTGATTTTTGTTCAAATCCAAATTCAGTTTAGTTCTTATGGATTAAGAAAGACAGACAAACTGTTGACATCCTCCAAAGCCAGAGACCAGATATGAACCAGACATGAACCATTGTTTGCTTTAGTTTAAGAAATGTCGACCAAATCTCAGAGAAGCAGCTGTTAAAAAGTGTATCCTGGTCTCTGCAGACAACATCGACGATCCTACTGGAAACTTCCGAGGCACGCCCCTCACTGGCTGGAAGGTCTTCCTGCTTCTGCTGTGTGCTCTACTGGGAATCGTGGTGTGCGCCGTGGTGGGAGCTGTAGTTTTCCAGAAGAGACAGGAGAGGAACAAGAGGTTTTACTGAGGAGGAAAACGAAGAGCCTCAGCAGAGAGGTGTTTGCTTCTGAACGAACTGTTTCCTGATGACAGATTGAGCACACTCAATGTGAATTTTTCCTAAAGATTGTACAAATGTTTATATCTTTTGAAGCACTGCGTTGGGGAAGAATGATGGTAAGTGGCGATGTTGATAAAATAGAGATGGAGGACTGGAGGTTTCCGTCATGGGTGACTCTAATCAATGCTGTTTTTGTTTCAAGTCTTCATGTGTTCATTAATGGCAGGGTTAGATTAGACCTTCTCCTCTGTGCAAACTTTGAGCGTGAAGTTTAACTTTGTGGAAAAAAGATTGTGATTACACCTGATTACCGGTCAAACAGGTGTCTCCAAACCTTTTTGGTTTTCTCTGCTGCAGACTTGATGCTACAGAACAGTGCGCTTCGACACCCCGAGGTCATTTAGATTTTTATTTTTGTCTTCCAGACCTTTTTTACCCAATTATTTATTGGAAGAAAGAAGTAGCACAAACAAAAAATGAAAAACATTAGATAAAAAATAACCTGATGAATTAATAATAACACAAAAAAACAGACCAACTGAACACAGAGGACCCATGAAAGAGTGCTTGATGATGTTGATTTCACTTTCTTTGTTGCGTTTGCTTTCAGTCTCTTTTTAAGAAAACTCATTTTTGGTACTTTAAAAGTTTAATTGCAAGATTCCACATATTCAGGAAAATAAAGCAATGAGGGTAAATGATTAAAGAAGCTGCTGTCGGGAGCCTCGACAGTACACACGTTTTTGCTTTTACTTGAATTTTCTTGAGTTTACTACCTGAACATTTTTGTTGTTTAGTTCAACGAGATGAAGCCACTTGACAGTATTCAATGCACAAGTGGATGGATCTAAAAAAAAGAAACTCAACAACCTCAAACCTGAAGGCTGAATAGTTTAGTTTTTTTTCCTGCAGGGTTCATGAGCAGCATGGTGGGGTTTTATCCAGAATATGCCTTAGTTATTGAGTGTTTGTTTTGTGTTCAATAATGCACAGTTGTGAGAAAAACTTCTACGATTCAATGAGATTCTTCAGTGAAATAAATGAGAGTCATTAACTGATTTCAAACAGGTGTGCTGCTAAACGCACCTGCACAGTGTTGATTTTGAAGCATTTTCAAACTCACTTCAGAGGAGATGTAAAACATTTAAGTCCAGGTGTGGGTTTTCAAAGACAAATTCACACTAACAAATGTGTATTTTACTTTCTTTGAATATTATATTTTTCTATTTTTGGGTTCCTCACAGCTTTTACCTCCAAGTGTTCTTGTTTGGCTTCCTTTTTTTTTGTCTTACTGTGAGCTTTGGTCTGGGTTTTGATGATTTTTTTTTCCTGCTCTCCTGAAGCAGTATTTGTTTCTGCCACATCAGATCTGTGATGAGACTTGACTCAACTTGAAATTCCCCTCAACAGAAATAAAGTAATAACAGATAAAAAACAACATTTTCTTCATGGAGACTTTGGATTACTGGTTATACATTTAAGCCTAATTTTATATCATGAATTCCTTCTAATCTCAGAACCAAGTAATCGGGCCAGTTGGCTACACGTCTGCTAAAATCAAGAGATAACTTGCACACAGGGGCAATGAGACACCATAATGAAATGGACAGTTACAAACTAACTATTCTCAAAGCACAGGCCAGCTGACACAATAATACAGCAGCATTATCTATTATTCAGCATGTGGCTAACAAAGCGGCACAAGGCCACGAAACATAACTGAGTAATAAGACAAGCAGGGAAGCAATAAGCTACAGATAAAATATGACTACCATCATGTTGATTATGAACATATTACAGGATCCAGTTACACGTCATTGAAATGGTGGTAAAATACCGCACGTTAACATATTTGCAAGACAGCTATTTATGGGGGTGAAAGGGCACAGGACATTTAAGCATCAGGTGTAAAGGGATGTTCCAGAGTAAAATTAAGTTAGGGTCAAACACACCGTAACACCGAGTTAGACACCCTGTTGAGAGATGAATGTTGCCGACCGCTTGCTTCTCTAGTTATACCAACTTTAGTAACGACCACACAATAGCAATACAGAGAGCCACACACTCAACCAAAACGCCACTCTATAGCCACAAATAATGCTCAGAACAGCACCTAACTTCATCAACAGGACATATAGGGTCCCAGCCATAGTACTAGACACCAAACATCTTTTTAACTTTGACTAATTTCTTTAGCAAAGAGACTAAACACAACTTACCTACTCTCTTCCAGCCACCGCTTGTTTGAAGCCAGACCTGGGGTGAGTCCATCGACTGCAGCGGGTTGATGCAGCTCAAGGAACAACATTTATGATCATTACTTTATCATTTCCTTGAAGTAATAATCACCATATTAGTCATTTTGGACTGCAGACGCGGTAGTTCTTCTGCGTTAGCTTCTTGGTTTGATTGCATTTTCCATGAAGAAGTTATCAATACATTTATATGACAATAGTCAAAACAAGAACAAAACCCCAAATAAAGCTGTTATTCTGTGATTTTTCCGTTTTCACCACACAATTCAAATTCAACTTTATTGGTGTGTTACTTTTCAGACAAATAATGCAGTTCAAAGTGTCTCACAGAGGCTAAAAACAACAATTAACAACAATAAAACCCGATCCTCCCACCCACACACACACATCCATGGACCCACCCTCACTCACACACACACACACACACAACTACACGCAGTGTGAGAATTTAAGATATATTGTAAGAGAGACATGGCCTGACACCAGGACATTAGGTGAGGAAAGAGCTACCTTTAGAAAACACTGGAGATACAAATAAAAATAAAAATGGTGAAAAGAAAGAGTAAAACCTGATGGACTAAAACAAGAAAATTATATTAAATGAAAAGATAAGTAAAAGCTCTTTACCATATAAAAAAGGTGTAAAAGAAGCAAAAACCTGTGACGGGAAGTAAGAAAAAGACTGACAACAGAGACAATTAGTAAATTGAAATAAAATAAACATTAAGAACTTTGATTAAAATGAACATTTGCGATCGGAGAAATATAAAAAAACAATTAGTAAAAGCCGGGTTAAAAATTCATGAAAATAACTGTGAATAAATATTATAAAATTAAGTGACCTAAGTTATTTTCATTTCTTTTTTTCTTTTTTTTTCATATACTATATATATGAAAACCGTTATTAATACCCACTTTCAGATTTAAACTGAATGGACTTCTCTGCTGTAGTTAAAAAAAAAAAAAGAAAAAAAAAGTGTGAAAATAATTTTTTGAAAGCAACTTTTTATCAAATTTACAGATAACAGAATTTTTCTTGTTAGTTTGGGAAAACTGGCCAACTTTGCGAACGTTACAGAGGGGGCGGGGCTTAGTCGATTTCAATGCCCCGCCCACTAGCTCGTCCCGACAGTGCGACGCTAAACAGCTGAACAGCTAAAGCTAGCTGTTTATTTACTTTATCGCTTAGCTAGCCTAAAAAAGCCCCCCAAGATGTGTCTTTCGATCGTTTTTGAAAAGAGGAACATATTTAAATCAAGAAAACAGATACTTGTAATGTAGTAAGGCCTCAGACAACATTTTAAACTCCTGAAGTTTCCTCAGTTTTTATCCAAACCGTTCACCGAGGAGCTGAGGGGCGCACTTCTTCACTCCAAACAAGCTAAGTACTCTCTGTTTAACACCTTAAAACCATCATGACCTGATTCGTTCTCTCTGTTTGGTTGTTTTCTGCTTGGTTATATCAAGGTAGTCATAGTTGCTGGTTGTTCTGTTTTAATTTTTGCAGTGTCACTGTTTGTTGAGCTGTAAATCATGAATATATGACATTAGACTGGCAGAGCTTATTGGACTTAATGGCCTGCATTACATCTGAAGATATATGAGAAAATGTGCAAAAGACAAGTGATAAGAGCCTTCAATATTGCATGTATATAAAATGTGATTTATAGACACAAATTAAAGGGTGAACATGAGCTTCAAATCACAGCTCTTATCTGCTTTTTGTTTAATGTTTTTCCTCCTAAATGCAAAATTAATCTTTTTTTTTTTTCAACATTAAATTGGCACAAATTAACCCTGAATGATCTTCATCTGCCTTCAAATGATTTTAAACATGTCCATTACATCCAGACCTCTATTCAAATGAGTAATATTAAGTAACACAGTCCTATTTGTGACCATAAATAACTTAAATTCAGACAGCACTGACTTGTTTATTGAGGATGCTTATACTATAATTTAATGAAACCACGTCTTATTGCTCGACCCTGGTCTGGGATTTCATGCTGTTTATTTGTATACTGTTAAAATATGTATATAAGTATCTCTGTGTTGTTGTGAGGTGTCTGGTAGAGAGGTTTAAAGGTTCAGCTGTCTTGTTTTGTATGAGCCGCTCATACATCTAAATAACCTGCAGTATTGTTCTCATGGGAATCTCTAAACAAAGGCCTTCTTGTCATTTGAAATTGCTTGTATATTTTGATTACACCTAAGTGCTGAGGTTAGGCTTTAAAGGCCTATTCATGAGATTTTGTGGGTTTAATCTGTATTAAAGATAATTATTGCCATCTGTTTTGCTGACATGCCCTAGCCTGTTAATGTACATGTGTAAGGTGGACTGGGATGATTGGGCTTATCCCTCTCACATCACCTTTGTTTATTAGAAGAAGCGAAAAAAAGGTTGTGATTGAGTATTTTTGTGGTAAACAGATTAAAGTTCTTTTAGTGGTGATGAAGATACTGATTATGAGAGCAGGTCAGCTGATGGCCGATATATACATCCTGATATCATTATGTTGGGTTTCTTTTTTGGTTTGCTTTTTATTGATTTGTTTAAACAACACAAACAAATTCAAATTACAATTTTTGAGCCTTACTGAATATTTATTAAAATTGATGAGGATGGAAAATGATTTGGCTTTGTTCAATGTAGGCCCAAATTACTTTTAGATTTCTGTCAAGCAATCTAACATTATAAAGGAAAAAATATAATCGGTTATTAAAGTATATTTTATTACATTTAAATCAAATATACATGGTTGTCTCTGCCAATTATGTTATGAGAAAGATAATGGTGATCGGTCTTAATTAACTCAGTTAATTGGCCAACCTATAATTGGTCCATGTCCAGTATTTATTGAAGTTTCTTTTTTGGCATTTTCTGATGTGACTTCATGTTGTTGCAACATTTTTAAATGGCAATCCCACAACATTTTAACTGCAGTTACTCATTTGTGCAGGTTTAAAGTAGAAATGTATCTCAGATTATCTCTCCTGGTTTTCAGTTTGGCCACAAGATGGCGATACAGTATTGATTTTCACCCCCTTTACACGAGACAAGTTTAAGAACTGTGTGTGTGTGTGTGTGTGTGTGTGTGACCGTGTGTGTGTATGGTTGTGGGCCTCCTATTTTACCCATAATTGTGCATTATTTATCGACTATTTTTGATCCAGCGGTCACTCATTTGCAGCATGGCCTGCAAACATTAAACTCTACCTTGCTTGTGACCCTCAAGACTGAAAAGTAAGTATTTTATTAATGAATACATCAGTCAAAATCAATAGTTTTCACATTATACATGTAGTTTTTCAGCCAACCTGACCTCACACACACAGATACTCACACATACTAAAGACACTCTGCTGACCCATGGGGTAAACCCTTCAGATCGTGTGGAAAGCTGTCACCTATCAGCGTTTCCCATCACTTTCTACACAGCACTCAGAGAGTATTCAAGCACCTGATTGAATTTTCATTACCCGGCGAGGCAGCACAGTGTGACAGCCCACAGGCCTCACACACACACTGACTATCAATCCAGCCCACCGTACACAGAGGTGTTCAGGTGAGTGTTTGTGTGAGAGAGAGAGAAACAGGGAGCAGCAGTTTGAATAGCCCACAATTTGAACTTCCTCCTCCACACCTGAAGCTATGATTGACTGGAAAACTGACTGATGGTGCCCCCGGTGGTTTTAAGAGATTTGTAGGCCTGTCACATTATCAGGTTTTCACCATAAAATATCACAATAATGATATTTTTGCATCATAATTGTCACTTTCTCGTTCCCCGCCGTAACCTGTGGTGGCAGCAGCAGAGGTGATATCCCATCTAACCTCGGTGAAAAATGCAGTGGAGCTCATGCACAGATATGTGAAGGTAAATGAACCGCATCTCCAAATAGTTCAAATATTTTTTTCTTATTTATGAGTTCAGAGAGCAAGGGCATCACACAAAAATAAGGGACCACTACAAAAGCATTCACTAAGGGCCCCTATCTGCATTGACAGCCATTTATTACTTTATCTCTGCGGACCCCTTTGACATGAGGGCCCCGTATACTCAGTATCCCTCTTTCTACCCCTGCCAGAGAACGTCCCTCCACCCCCCAGCTTCTAAGAGACCCTGAAGTGCAGAAACTTTGTTCACTTGTGCAATAAAGTGTCCCTATCTATCTGAAATGATCTCTTATCATTGTATAATTACTGATAAATACTCTTATTAGAACCTTTATAATAGTACTAGGGTTGGATAATAAGACACACCTCTTTATTTCCCTAATTTGTCCTCTAAAAAATGTTTGTGTTGAATTTAAAGGTAAATTTTGAACATTTTCTTCAATAGCCTCCATGTCACGTGACCAACTGACTGAAAATTGATTTCAAAGAATAGTGCTTATGTCGACCAATAAGACACATATTATTTGATCAATTTTCATTGTGCTCCTAAAGATCTTTTTGTGTTCTGAACTTTTCAATTTAGGAGCGCATGTGCTCCTTGTAAAAAAAGTTAGTGTGAAGCCCTGAGCGGACAAACTAGTATACTGCACTTGCCCTACACCCAACCCGAGGGATAGTGTAGATTTTTATTGAAAAGGAGAAAAATGTCACAGCACTATTGAAGAAAAGTATCTGTACTCATGTTGGGGCTGATTTATCTTGTAACACACATACTGGTTTTGGGGTATTTGACCCCTCAGGTGGGTTGAATGACCTCATTTATCACCACAGACCAGCCCAGGCTGTATTCTAACCATTTTTAAAAGATTTTGACCTGTTTATGGTTCTTCCAGGCAGCTTGTATTGGCTCATAAATTCAGAAATGACTGTGTTGTATTTACTGGGCGTTTGCCTTCAGGTGATAGTCAACAATAAATCTGTCATATGGAAAACACCAACAACAAAATCCGACTTTCCTGTTTGCTTTTCTTTGCAGCGTTGGCATCTAATAAATTTCAAGTTCTTGTCAGTATCGGGGAATTTAGGGGGAAAAATGGGAAATGTTTGACTTTGACTGAACAGTTTTTGATTATATCGGTTTGGGAGGATATGTTGACTTGAAGTTCACCTTTGGGACTCACCTTTGTGGGTTGAGTTCTTCAGGGCAACATTTCTCAATCAAAACAAGATAGTTCTTGCCGACATTACAGGCGGGGAAAAGGGTAAACCTGTGTTTAATGTTTAAGTATCTGCCTCCACGCTGAATATAAATATGACAAATGATCCCTGCCAAGATTAATTACAGTGGGTTTTTCTTGGCAAGAGATAAGAGATCATTGCTGGAAACACTGTTCATGCAAGATGGAATGTGTTGGTCAACTTGTGTTCTGAATTGCCACAACTTGTGCATTAAAAATATAAAGTGATATAAACAAAAGTAAAGCGATAACTGCTCATGAAACAGTTTTAACAGTTTCTCTCCGTATGAATGAGGAAAAGAGATCGTAAATCTGTCCTGGCTGCTGACTCTGAAGCTTTTGGCTCTCCTGAAAATGTAACACTGATGGCATGTTGTTAAAGACGAGAAATTCTTGGAAAATTTTGGGGGCCATGGCTCCCAAAAAAGGGGATATTCTGGCATAGATTTAATTTAGGGTCAAACACACCAGAACATCGAGTTAGACACCGCCTCCAACTTTAGTAACGACCGCAGGATAGCAATACACAGCGATCTGAGGAGCCTTAAACAAACCAAAACGCCACTCTATAGCCACAAATAATGCTCAGAACAGCACCTAGCTTCATCAACAGTCAGCCAGCCATAGTACTAGCCACCGAACTTCTTTTCAACTTTGACTGATTTCTTTAGCAAAGAGACTAAACACAACTCACCTACTCTTTCACAGCGGGGTGATGCAGAAGAACATTTACGATCATTTCTTCATGGAAATGCAATCAGACCGAGACGCTAAGGCAGAAGAACTGTCTCGTCTGCAGAGCAAAATGATTAATATGTGTGTGTTAGCATGTGCTTGTATAGAGGAGGATTTATAAGTACTGTGTTTGAATTCAGTCATTCTTAAAGCAGTATTTTTGTTTTCAGCACAGACTAGTGACTTTCTTGCTGAAAAGGGAACTTGCAGGATTTTTTACATTTCAAAATTTTTTTTGCATTTTTCTCGATAATTTTCCAACTCAATCCCAGAAAATATCTGATTCATATACTTTGGTATCATTACTATTATATAGCCTTGGTTATTGCAAATTTATGCTCGTTATGTCATGGACTGCTTAACTACTTTCCTGTCAATTTGCAAGATTTTTATGGCTCATGCCTAATTTTCTGTCTTGAGATCTTGTCCCTGTCTTTTGTAAATTCACCACCAAAAAACTCAGATTTTTTTTCTCTCAAAAACATGTCAGAACATTTGCTACTGTTAAAGCTCAATTTGGTGAGCTAAAGGTGGAGTAGGCAGGATTTTTTTGACTTTCACCTTGACCGGGCCCCATTTGTAATGATCTGAAGTATTTATCTGCATTATATCTGAATTCAATTGGAACGATACAAGCGAGCAGGAGCGTCTGTTTGTGGGCGGGCTGAAGGGAAAACTGGTTGGTAGGGGTAGAGTTTACATTCAAGATTTCTCCCAAAAACCGGCACTTCCTCAGATCCTGACTGCCCCACTTTCAGTAAATTACTGTCTTGTTCCAGTTTATAAACACCAAGGAGGAATGGTTTGATTTGAAAAAGTCACTTGGCATCTCCTGGTTGGCCTACTATGTTGTACCAAAACAGTTGACAAACATGATAGCAAGAGGCTGATGGGTTGTATGTCCAACAGTGAAAGCAACTTTATATCTCTGCGCCCTCTAAGTGACCCATTTATGCAGTTCAGTTTCTGGATAGACTTGCTGGCATGCACGAAGAAGATGAAGAAGGAGAGTAGTTGTTGTGCACGAAAGTACATGCACTGATCTTCATTTTTTTATGTTAAAACCTTCAGAGATTGAGGCTCATACTTAACATGCATCACCAACCAGAGGGGTGAGCAGGAAGCTAATTTTTTGTCAGAGTGTCCGCCTTGATTTCACTTCGTTTTGCTTTGTAAGTTGGTTTGTTTTTCCTTTTCTACCTCATTCACTGCAGGTTTCAGTTCATAGAGGTCAGCGTACATTTACTACTGTATACAGTACTAACATTACACATCACAGTTTGTAGTAACAATAAGGGGACTTCTGCACCACTTCCTTCACTGTCAGCCTGAACGGTTTGAAATAATGACATTAAAAACTAGAAAACACCAGAATATATGCTTAAATTGTGCAATATAAGCACTCAGAACATTTTTCTGTGTTTGTAGATGCTCGGAAAACTGATCTGGTTTGAGGTGAGGTTATAAAAAGTATCAACCACCATAGATTTTTCAAACTCTATCCAGGATATCCATTATATGTTTTATTAGACCTCTGTGCACAGTGTCACAAATCACCGAGCAGAGCTTTTTACGGTTTTGCAGGATTTGTGCAGCACTGTGACCACGTGCAGTGCTTTATATATTTAGCTAGATAAGCCCTGCAGATATGCCTGTCTGGTTATTTTATCTGCTCCTTGTTTCAATTTCCAGAACACTTAAATTCACTTTATCGCTAAATTGATTTTCCCACACACAATAAAATGGGACAGTAGTATAAAATTTGATGAGCAGAGCTGAACCCTGTGTTTCTGTTTATTCTGAGGCTATCTATTACAAACAGAAGTGGATATTCAGGTGCTAAAATGAAAGAAAGAAAGTTTCAGCACATTATCATTATCATTTCATAAATACATTAGTATTTAGTCGTCACAACCTGATTCATATGGTCACACACAAAGAAAAATCAGTGAAGATTGTCACATTGTGAGGAAAAGATGGAAAACTGTGAATGGAAATGCTTCAGTGTGTTCATTCACTCTAACTTCTCCTTTCTTTTTCCCGTCCTCAGCTCCTCCTCTCATCTCCGAGGACCTTGAGCCCACAGAGCCTAAACAAACGGTACCACAGTCCTCCTCCTCTCTCTGTGTATTTTCTCTTTCTCTTTCTTTCTCTTACGACGTCGGCTGTTGCTTTACATCTGGAATCTGAAGGTGTGACTGTCCTCCTTTGTGTGTCTACAGAGTGTTATGAATGAATGGTGAAGGCTGAATAGCTCATCAGTAAACCTTGACACCTCTTTGCTTTGAATGAAGCAGCTGCACCAGTTACGGGATTTTTCAGCATACTTTTTAAACTGATGCTGTATTCTCTTCAAAGTTTTCCAGATATTTAAGTGAAAAAGCAAAAAAAAAAGGATTTATATGCTGCAATGCTTTTAGGTTCATAAGCTTTTACTGTTGCTGTGATGTTAACCTCCAAATCACTCAAAACATGTTGATTTTGATCATGCATTTAGTTTATTATACTTTCAATAGAGACGCTTGATTTTGAAAATAATACCGTAATTTCTATCCCCTTCTGTAAAACAAATTGCACTATGAAAAATCTATTTTTACCACATAAATGCAGTCTAGTCTAAAGCTAATGACAGGAACTTTTGGAACTTTTATTTTGGTGCCCCCTGGCAGACAAACTAATCTCTATGTATCTTCTATCTCTGCAAACTCTTGCGCATTCACTCATTGCTGCTGTGAAATATATTATTCACCCCTGCTAATGAAATGGCCGTGTTACCTGGGATTTCCACCGCATTCGGAAAGGCTCTGATCCAGAATGGTGGCCATTTTCGCCATCCACCAATTTCTACTGGATCTGCTTGTGAGGCGAATTTCGTGGCAGATTACAGACAGCAGGAATCGCAAGAACTCACAAGTACCCGCGGATTCACGTGCAACTGCGCGATAACAAGTTGTCTCTATAAAGACTACAGAGGCTAACCATATAAGCAGTAGATTGTGTCCTTCCAGAGGAGGAAATCTACTTCTAGGCTTAAAAAATCAGCGTCTTCTCATCCATGGTGTCATCAGGGTGAAATGACGTCTATAAACCTTTTACTTTTTCGTCTCCACCCATTTGCATGGTGCCTGAAACACGGAGTGTTTTATTTTGAAAAGAAGCCGGATGTTTTATTTTGTGTCTGTGCCCGACTTCTTTTCCAGCACGGGTTAATCTGTGCTGAATTTATCCGGCATGCCCCGGCGTCTGGAAAAATAGAACTTTTGTGATCTGCAGCGGAACGGAAAGAAGCCGGTGGAAATTGACACGTTAACTTGAATAGTTACGATCAGCTGCAATCGGCAGATACGGCCTTTTCATTGCCATTCCGTATTCGGTGGAAATTGGGGTTCAGTCATTCAGTGCAACAGTTTACAGAATCAGTCAGTTATTTCCTGACGTCAGACTGTTGCCATGACGACCTGGGGATAAGCTCTAATTACTGACTATAACAGACTGACTGTAATTGTATCAGACAGCAGGAAGAAGCATGATGATTCGTTGCTGTTTTTACACAGTGGGGGAACTAAGAAAAGGGATGAAAATAATAGCGAAAAGGCAGGAGGTGTTAAAAATGAATTTAAACGATCTTCAAATTAGAGATGGCACATTAAGTTAATAGTTAATGGGACACAGTATGAGAGACAGCGCTCCTTAAGGGCTGATAAATGGCAGGAAAATGCCACATGCTCCGACAGTGACGGGGCAGAGTAAACTCAGCCAGGAGCTGCAGTGATTTATAAGGTCCTGTGCGCCTTGTTTAACCTCACCATCAGTGGGAATGTGCCGTCAAATAACAGCTAAGTACGATAATTTTAAGAAGGCAGCATGTATGAAGCGTAAATAATAACCGGAATTTGCAAGAAATAATCACAAATCAATATATGGCCTGACATTAGAAAGGTAGGATATTGGGTTGTAGTGTTTTAATATCTGATTGGCTGGTATTTTCAAACTCATTTTGGTTGATACAAAAATTAATGATATCCACACTTGGTTATTCAGGGCTGATTCTGATACCGATTGTTAAAACATAAACCTGATCATTGATATTTGGTACTCATATGCGTTTACAGCAAAAATGACATTCAGCCGTCAGGGGAACGAAACACTTATACAGATAATTAGCCAAGGCAGACAGCCAGTCTAGAAAACATGCAGACTGCTCAGAGCGACATCCTATTTGTTTTAGAAACAGACATAAAATAAGACATTTGATTCTCGAAGCTTTAATCTGCCAGTACAGATATTATGCCAATAATATCATGCAACCCCACCCCACATAACCTCCTTGAAGTTAAGGGGACCAAATACAGATCATTATCTGCAGCTGCTGCACGGAGCTGTAGCTCTGTGCTGTTTGAAAGCTGATGATAGCAAGCTTTTAAAGTCTTGAGATAGGTGGTAAACCACAGTGGGTGTTGTGTTTATTAGAGGACAAAAGACAGAAGCTGAAAGATGTGTTTTCAAAGAGATGAAGTCTCCAAACAAAACAAAACTAGATGAGAAACCTTTAGGATTTCAGTTTTTCTTTGTATTTTTAGTAGCTGCGGTTTTTGGGTCGTGACTTTAGCCAGACTGTGACTTTTCTACAATGTTAGTCCTGTAAGAAAGTTTATATATGAGGATCTTTTGACCACTGAAGGTATCGGTACTTTTTATTTACTACAAACTGTCACAGAGGAGTCTAAAAACTTTGTACGTCTTCAAAACACTGGCTTGAACTCTTGTTTGTTTTGGAGTTATAAATTCAAACACCTGGACACTTTCTCTGTAGATGTAAAGGGGAGATTCTTCAGGGAGAACTAATCACCAGCCTTCACCGTTTTGAAAAGGGTAACACAACAAAATACATCATTTCTTTTCAAACTGATAATGTAGTTTTAATGGTGTGATGAATGTGAGTCCACCCCCGCTGCTCCCTGTGATAAACAAGGAGCTCAGGCCTAATGAGTCGCTCCTGGTTCTGCATTTAGTCAGTTTGACAGCAGCTGGAGGAGAGTGAAGGCGGGGTCGTGATCTGCATTTAAACTGTCAGCGCACAGCATCAACTTTTGATTACTGCTCGCACTAATGGGAGGAGGAGGAGGAGGAGGAGGAGGAGGTGTGGACGGAGGATTGTCTGGTCATGTTTGACTGAAGACCTGAAACATTTTTTGATTTTCATCTAATAATAAATGATTCATTTGAAAGTCACAATACTGGTTTCTGACAACTTTTGGAATTGGCCGTGAATGACTGTAAATGAGACCGAAGAAACAGAGGCTGACTAACACTGTGTTTTTTGAGGAAGCAGGTTGGCTAATAGTGCCGATAACACGTTTTCAGTTTTTGGGTTTTGTATAAAATACAACAATTTATAACATTGACACTTATTATTCCATGCACAGAACAATCTCATAAGGTTAACTGGGGTTGTACCAAGTTTGAAGTGGATTTTCAACTCGTTCAGGAATAGAAAAAGGGTTATTTGATAGATTTCAGAGCAGACATCTGTGTCAGAATACGCACTAAACTGAATTGTTTGTGTGTATTATAACAGGATTTGTATTAAACACTAGCTAGCAGGTGTTTTACGTTTGGACTGGACATTATACCTTATCATTTACAAGGATGTTTACATTGTTCAACAGCGGACACACTGACGAGGCTGCCTCCAGTGTCTGCAGAAATTATTAATAACACAACGTAACACAACTCAGGCACTAGTAGATGTCTTTTTTTTTTTTTTTAAGTATTCTTTGGGCGACCTTCACAGTGGGTGACCTTCACAGTGCTTGCTGTGCTATAAAAGCTCAGAGCATTGTTAAAGACACTTTCCATCCTAGTCACTCCTTGTTTGAACTTTTGACGTCAGGCAGACGTTACAGGACAATCAAATCAAGAACAAACAGACTTAAAAACAGTTTTTATCCGACAGCAATAACTACCCTCAATGCCTTAAGGAAGGTTATGTGTGACCGAGTATTTATTTATTTATTTAGTGCTGCTATTTATTACTGTAGTTGTTTTTAATGATGCACTGATTGTTTGGCACTTTTTTAATTTCGTTGTACTGGTTACAATGACAGTAAAGGACTATTCTGTTCTATTCTTTATTGATAGGACAGTGTGGAAATATGGGGAGCTAGAGAAAGAGAGGGAAGACTGCGGGGATTGTGGTCCCCATACATGGGGCACGCTCACCCGCTCGGCAATCTGCGCGCCCGCTAGTGGATGTCTTTTATTCCAAAAAGCCTCTGAAATGCCTGACTGATTAATCTTGTTGTCTCGAATAGAAATGAAACTTTAACTCTCAGTTATTTCCTTCTTTTGGATATTAACCTTTATTTGTGTTCTGTGGTTTATTGGTACCCGTACACTAGAGTAACAGACGGGTGTGATGCATTGAAAGTATGAAGTAGGAATAGGGGCTGTGCAAAATATTGATTCCACTTTATAACGCTGTTCTGAGTTACACCAGCACATATTGGTATTTCAATTTAAAGCTCTCTAAATTGCCTCTCCTTCAAATTTTACTTCCAACACCACCACTTTATGACTTCTTGTGGTGCCACTGATGATATTAGTCCTGCTCTTCCTCCATATATTTTAGACCAGCAGCGTCCCATCTACAGACGTTTTATCAATAAACTTCTTTTTTTTCGGATGGCTTGCCTACATCTGGTCCTTCCAGTCTTCTTCATGCCTTAAACTTTTGAGGACGCAGTGAAATGCTTTCATGAGCAGCAGCTAATGAAGTCTTTCAAAAATTAAACCTGCAGCAGCTTGTGTGACCGAAGTTGTTAAAACTTGTCAGTTTGTTAATTTTATTGCGCAACATGTACAAGAAAACTCTTAACCACCTTCATAAGCTTGCTTATCCGCTGGTTTATGGGATAACAACTCGTGCCCAGTTTTAAAAGCATATTTAAGACAGCTGTCACGTGTTGGCAAACACAAAATGGCATTTCCATCTTCACTCAGCCAAGCCGAAAATTCATCCTTTGAAAACAGACATGACTCTGCAGTGGAATCCACCGCACAGGCCAAAAAACACCTCCAAAAGTTGTGGTCCATGAGGCCAAAACTATACCACACAAAGAGGAAGCATGTCTAAACATGATCCAGAAACACCACAGACCGCTCTGTGCTTTGACACGTTTTTTTGGAAACCATGATACTGTGCCATCCGCTCCGAAAAGGAAAGAGACCTGAGTCCGTTTAAGAGGAACTGAGGTAAACTAGAAGGCTGTCCTGTAGTCCGACTTGTCAAAAGTGGCATCACTTGGTATCGTTCAGTCTCTGTTTCTTGGGGTAAAACTGGTTTAATCTAACCAAGCATCAAATCTTTTTCTGTAAGAGTAGAAGCTGAAGAAAAATGCAGAGTTATGAGTTGACATCGTTGACCTGGTTTTTATCAACAGCGTGACGACAATTTTGAGGTTATATGAACTAAACTTAAAGCTGACCTGATTCTATTTTTTTGTCTACAATAACAGATCATTTATAGCAGAGTCTGAAGCTTAAAGCACATTTTTCCCCGATGACATTAAGAAAACTGTGTGAGTCATAACCTGTCAGTGCCTGTCAGGATGATCAAAGCGCCAATATTCTCTGAAAACTTCAATTTCGCTTTAAGTTGCGGAGAGATTGTTGGTGATCTAGTAATGAGGACGACCGTGTTTTTCTTTCTCTTTTCATTCTCACTTCAGTTGCATGACTGATGTGTGTTCACTGGAACTGCGGCAGCCTGCAGGGAAGGTGCGAGACCACAATCATGGGATTTCTGAGTCTAAGTTCACTTTTATCTTGAAATTAAAACTTCTTTAAGAGGATTAGCATTACGCCACATGAACCATTGCCAGGGTTGATATAAGGAAAGCTGGTTTAACTGTGCAGCTCCCAGTGAGAACAAGTCTGATTAAAGTGAAACTCCTCCCAAAGTAAATAAAGTGATGTCAGTGGAGATTAAAGACGGTTTATGAAGGTTAAAGAGATCACGGGTGGTCAGACAGAAAGAACAACTCATTAACGTTTATTGATTTGTCACCTTAGTAACATGATAAGGCCGCACGATTTGGCCAAAGTTAAAATCCCTTTTTTTTTTCTTTGAAAACTCGATTTTCAATTTCAAAATCGAGTAAGTGGCGCTGTAACGCTGCCGAGAAAATGCACAGAAGACAGAAGAAGAGTACAGACCATGTATATAAAGGTTGTTTTGGCTGGACAGGCGCAGACGCCATAATAGAGTTACGCTGTGTGTCACATAATCGTTTTAAGAGATGCAGTTAGACATCCACACAGGGATGAAATGGTCGTC